ACCTATAAAATCTAAACATAGCAACGCTCCCTTCTTATTTTGGATTGAAAAGGGAAAAAATGGAAAACCTGCAAAATAATGTTGGACGCTCATCAGACTTTGTTAGAAGTCACTTGTGAGCATATATAGTTTTCACTTTTTTTATTAAATAAAAGATAAATAAGTTGAACAAAACATGTAGTATTTGTTCCACATAAGAACAAACTATAACTATGATTTGGCTGATTTTTTACAAAAAAAAAAAAAAATTTGAATTTGATGAAGTTAAGATTTTGTTTGTTTGACATTCTAAGAATTTCCATTAAAATTAAGTACTGTTTTGAAAAAATTACTACTTGAAACAACTTTTCAGTAACAGGAAAAAAAACAAACAATTTTTGGAAAACAATTCCAAACACAACCTAGACTAAATAAAAAGTTGTCTTGCAAATCCACACTTAATTGCAGTATAAAAGATTCCCACACTAATTGTTGTACACAATCTACTGTGTTGTGTTAGACCACTATCAAAATCAACAACCTTATTTCTGTTGCTTTGTTTTTCTCTTCCACTATCGAATCAGTCTTGGCAAAATATCCAAATTAGCACCTCTAGCCTTCTTCTTTGCTTCCTCATCAGCAGGTGACAATCTCATAGCATGGAAATATTTATACTTTGTTTAGGAAGAATTTATAAGTAGACACAAAGGAGTGGTGTATAAGCAATACTACTTGTGTGTCCATTAAAATGTGTGAATGAAGTTTGACCATTTGTAAATGATTTAAAAATGTTGCCAAATGGAGGCTTAATAAACCAATAAGTATCGTGTGTGCACACGTTCTCTTCATAATAGACTAATCACCAGAATTGAACTTCTTTTTTTGAATTTTCTTCCTTGGAACCACATAAACTATTTTTTCACCAATCATATATTTCCAGTTGGAAACTGTTCATCGTTAATGCCTCTACAAATTCCAGAAAAATTCCTTAATTTTCTGACAGAACCCAATTCATAAATATCATCTAAAGTCAATCTCCATAATTTATTCATCAACGAAAGTAAATAGGCAGTTTGTTTTATTACTATCCCACAAATTTTCCAACTTAGAAAACTTAACTAAATTATACAAAATCTTTATTCTGTAAACTTCACCTTAAAATCCTGTGAAAAATCTTTGCTCTCTTTCTCTATCAAATCCTAATATTGAATCTTTTCCACATTATTTTGAAAAAAGAAACTAAATACTCCATACCCAAAAGTTTCACAACTGAAACTACATATATCACAACACTCTAATAAAGATACAGACCTATAATGCAAGCAGACACCTCAAATCTCATCTTCTTCAGGTAATGATCATACAATTGCACGGCCTGAAAACTCTAAAACTGAATACCAAAAACGAAAACCAGATTACTAAAAATTGAAGGAAGTGGAAGGAAGATATGAAATATTAATAGCAATGATAGTCAGAACTTATGTATCGAAAATTGGTAAGCGCTATAGAAAACACTTGACACACTTACCAAGAAATGCTCTTCTTGATTTCCTTAAGATGTTATTGGTTATATGAAAAAAAAAAAAAAAATCCGTGTGCATTTTTTTTCCATACCAATAACATTTTTTTTCACCTAAGCCAATTTTAATGTCTGCCTCCAAACAACTTCAATTATGCTCTCCCACTCCATTTGCAATACACTAAAAAAAACAAAAACAAAAGACTAACAGAATCATCTCTCCATGAAAATCTACTATCTTTCTTCCTATTTTGACATGTTATCTCAGACTTGAGAATCAATCTAATGCTGAAACTAACAATTCATATAATATGCAAGTAAGAACCCAGTTGTATGCACCCACGCACAATGTTAATCAACGAAAAACCAAGTCAAATTGGAGAATAATGATTTAAAGTGATACCCCAACATTGTTGTGCTCCCATAGCTTGTGCACCCCATAGTCCATCGCCTGCAAAGTAAAAAAAAAAACAAATTAATCCAAAATCTAAATTGCCAAAAAAAAAAAAAAAAATTGAGAAAGTAGAAAAAGAACAGAAATGTGGAAATCCCTAACAATCCAAAACCCAAAGCACACTCCAACAGTAACATCAAAACTTCTTTTGATAAATTAGTGAAATATCAATAGAAATTGTTCATGTCCCAGATCCAGATTCAATCGAGTC